TTGTACTGGCTGTTCCTCTGCCTGAAATGCCCTCCCCTAGATATGCACATGGCTTGTTCCCTCTGATCTCTATCAGATGTCTTTCTCAGGGATCCCTTTCCTGACCACTTTATTTAAAATGGCCACCCACTACTCCTGACCCCCCCATTCTCTGTATTTCCTCCACAGCACTTATGACAGCAGTGCCACTGTTGTCTCTCCCTGCTTCTATCCCACTCCCCCCAGCTCAGACCCTGAAGGCGGGTCCCATGAAGGCGGGGTTTGGTTTTGTTCACTGCTGTGTCCTGGGGTCCTGGAGCAGTGCCTGAGGCACTGACCATGGCAGACTGGGGTTAGTGCTTCTCTCTTTCTCTGTGTCCCACCGTGCACCTCCGTCCACTCCTCCACTGGCCTTTAGGATAGGGCCTTCCCAGGGAGCCAGGCGGCTGTGGGCGACCTTCCAGCCGTGGAGCAAGGCTATGGCCACAAGGGGGCAGTGGAGAGCATCATCGCCTCAGCCACTCGCAGGCTGGAATGAGGTCCTGATCCTCTAGGCGGTGGCCACAGTTAGCATTTGGGGAGGCATGAGTGCTCAGCCAGGGCCCTGCCTGTGACTACCACTATTGTTCCAGTAGTACTTGTCTAATAATATTTATTCTTAACAATGCTGATTTATTCTGTACTGGGCATACTAACATACTAAATTTGTTAGTGTCATCTCTGGTTCTCACAGTAGTGCTGTCAGGCAGGCGGGGGCGCCCACTGCTCAGGGGAGAGTAGGCAGGCCCAGAGAGGTTGGGTAACTTGTCCAGGACCACACACAGGAAGTAGTTGAGTCTTTTTGACCTCAGAGCCTGGGGAGTGTGAGCGTAGCTCAGGAGGTGGGCCTACCGCTGGCCCTCACACCCTCACCGCCTCAGAGGGCCCAACTGTGTTAGCCCATCAGTTTGGAGCCCCTCCGTGTGGGGGTTGCCGGTGAAGCAGAGCCCAGCTTCTGGGGAGCTGGAGCCCTGTGGCCCAGTCGGCCAATGCTTTCCCTTGGTGAGGGGCATGCAGGAGCCAGGGCAGGAGGATCTGGCACCAGTGTGCCAGGTGGGCATGTCACCGGGTCCAGCAGATGTCCCAGCCAAGGTCACACAGGCTGGGCAGAGGGGGGCGCCTGGGGGACTGGTGTGGGGACGGGCGCAGTGGGCACGGCTCCTGGTGTGGTGAGGGAGGAGCAGGAGCGGAGGGTAGATGGGGAGGGGCCTTGGGGTCCGACCTGTGTGACCTCGCGCAATCCCAGGTGCCTCAAGCCCTCCCAGATGTTTGTAGAGCACAGCTCCATGCCAGCCCTGTTCTGGTGCTGGGGGAACACAGACCCACCCCCGCCCCGCCCTCAGAAGCAGACCTCTCTTGGGGACACAGTTGCTCTTTTGAGCAGATGGTCAGGAAGGCCTCCCTGAGAGGACATCTGAAGGATCAGGGGAGCCACATGGGTTTCTAGGGGAGCACTCCAGGCAGAAGAAGGCACAGCCTGCAAAGCCCTGAGTCCCCCACCATGGTATAACCGTTGGTAATCTCAGAAACTTTGCCCTAGACAGCTGGGACAGCGAGGCCCCTACTCCTCCTGCTCCATCAGTTCCACCTGCTGGGCTGTGGCCTGGGTTCCGGCCTGCAGGTGGGGGTTCACAGCCTGGCCCCGAGCCCCTCCCGCAGGGTGGGCTGCAGGCACTGCCTGCCCCCTGGCCCTGGGCTGTGTGCCCTGACCTCGTGCTACCACGAGTTGCTGTTGGCTGGGCTGGTGAATCTCTGGCTTTGGGATGAGAATTCCTTCCCAGCTAGTGGAACTGTCATCACAAGCTGCCTGCCCACCCCAGCCCAGGGCACCCGTGCGTCCTTGTCCTCTGCCTGCCCATTGTGCCCCTCCGAGGCTGCTGGACCACACCTCCTGCCAGAGACAGCACCTGGACCTTGGGCAGATGACTACCACCGCCCCCAGCCCTCACTTCATCCATTGAGAGCGCTTAGCCCCCCACCCCAGCCGTGGGAGCAGCAGCACCTGTCCCTCGCTGCCCCCTCCTCTCTGTGGGGACAGGAGTGGTATGGGGGCTCACCTCAGGAGGGCCTACCATTCCTCCCTACCCACAGCCCACCTCCGCCCCCAGGGACGGGTCCTGAGCCCGCTGCCTGCCCTGCCACTGGTGCCCTCTGACCCCAGGCCTGCGTTCACCCTGGGCCTTTACCCCACCCCTCTTCAAGTGGGGTGGGGTGCAGCACACGATGGGTTTCCCACATTAGGCTCAGGGTCTCCTGGGGCGGGTAGGGGTGGGGAACCTCTGCTGTTCTGCCATGTGCCCCGGGACCTTTTTTTCTTAGCTCTATTTGGAAACAATTAGAGATACATAGGAAGTTGCAAAAATAGTAGAGAGGGGCCTCGTGTACCCCGAGGGCCTTTTAATCTTTGGGAGAAAACGGCTGCTGGGTCTGGGGATTTGAGGGCAGGAAATGGAAAGGAGCAGACTGGGTCCCTGGGTGCTAGCCCTGCGGCCAGCCTTACCTCTTGGGGGTGCAGGTGGCTCCTCCGTGGCCTGGACTGGGTGCTGCTGCAGACTCCGGCCACCTCCCCGGACCCTCGCTGCTGCACCCTTGTGCTGCCCTGCCTCCTTTCCCAGCAGCCTGGCCTTCAGCGGCCGGCTGCTCTCCCTCCGGGGCCCTGGACCTGTGTCTGGGCTGGGGGAGAGGGTATGGTTTCACCCCTCCCCTCGGCAGCTGGCAGGCAGGGCCAGACGGTTGTATTTTAAGCTGTTGAGTGTTTCAGCAGGAACTTGAAGCTCCTCTCCCAGTGGAGGCTGGTGCTGCTGGCCTGTGGGCCACATGGACTCCCAAAGTGTGTGGGCACTGCCTTTCTGGGCCCAGGGCCTATTAATAGACCTGCAGCCCTGGTGCCTGCCCAGGGCCTTGCTGTTCCAGCCTTCCCAGCTCATTCCGCTTGCGCCCTTGCCCTCACCCATAAGTCCCCTTGGTGGGCCTGGTGCTCCGCTCCATGTGCCAGCTCTCTGCCCAGCGCTTGTCATTCCTGTGGCTCAGAATGGTCGAGCATCCCAGGCCCCATAGCTGGGCAGAGCCGGGTGATAGTGGGTTCTTGGGTGGGGATGGTAGGTAGTGTCCCCAGGGGGACAGTGTGTCACAGATGGGCAGAAGGCCACGCCTGGGCAGGGACCTGGTGGCCCGCAGGGGGACAGAGACCTGGTCCCAGGCCTGTGCTTCACCTCGTGGAAGGATGCCGCGGTGCCCATGGGGCCTCCCTACACCTGTCCTGACAGCCTGCAGCTACTCTTTGAATTCAGTCAGGCCCCTGCTGCAGCTTCACAGTCCTGTCCCTGGGCAGACACTTCCCTGTCTCCTGCGCGGCGAGGCTGTGCACTTGCCTCTCCCGCTGTCGGGGGCATGCATCTGTCTGTGTATGTGTGTGTTAGATCTGTGTGTGCACGCATCGGGGGAAGGTGCGAGGGGAGCCCAGCCTCTCTGGTGTCATGGTGGAGCCCTTTCCATCAGCGTGGGCTCTTGGTGCACTGGCCCTGTGTCCCCGGCTCTGGTGGGTGGGCACATTCTCACATGACCCCTGACTGCCTGAGGCCCCACCCTGGGGTTGGCATGGAGCTTGAGTCTCAGAGCATTGTTTCTGGTCCCTTGTCTGCATTCTGTCTCTGACCAAGAGCCCAATTGGGGCTCTGGGTGGGAAGTGTCCCCAGCAACTGCTGGACAGTGGCCGATTTGGGAGCAAACCTGGACCTGCCCATGGCCCATCTCTAACAGGGTCCCTGCTGTGGCACTCAGGCCTTTTGGCATCTGTACAGATGCTGCTGGGCCTCACTTTGCGGCCTCCGACAGCTCATACCCTTTTTTTGCTCATGCCTGGTGCCTTCTCTGGCCTGCTTGGTACAGGTGGGCCCCATGTCCCAGGGGCTCCTTCTGCCCCCGTGTCTGGACCCTCACCTGTGGGATCAGGGAGAGTGGGACAGGCTCCCCGGGCCCAGCACAGGTCTGGCTGTGGCCTGGGAGGTGCAAACAGGCCGAGGCTGTGTACTCTGGGCTTCTGGAGGGTTCAGGCCTGCAGGTGGGTCTGATGTTGGGCAGACATGCCAGAAAACTGGCCCCTGGATATGGCCTTGAACCAGGCCTGGGTGGACCTGGTGAGAAATGGGTGGAGTGAGTGGGAGGGCAGGGCTAGGGTGGCCGCTGTGTGGGGATTGAGGCCTTGGCAGTCCTGCTGGGGGCCCTTTCCTGGAGCTCCCTGGTTTCCTGACCCTTTTCATGCTTAGCTAGAGCTCTCTGCACCAATAACTCTGGAATCTGTCACCTCCTTGGGAACACAAATGCACAAGGAAAGTAATCCGGAGTGGCTCTTACAGCTCAGGAGGGGAAATGGATGATCTATCTCACGGATTCTCAAAATAGCTGGGGTTTCTCCAGGCCCAGTGAGCTCCTTTGCTGGCCTCTCATCCTCTCTCCGGCCCTGGGCGGCCCCTCTGTGTCTGGCTGGGGACTCTCTGACCCCTGGTCTTTTGGGAGGCCATACCCACTAAGAAGTTTCTCTGTCTGGGTGCCCTGGTCCCGCATAGAGCCCCCAAAGGAGGTTTGTGGCATGGCCCCTGGGGGCTGAGTCTGGGCAGATTTTATATTTAGTTGGGATGTGGCTGTGGTGCCACTCGGGTTACATCTGGCAGAGAAGCCGGCCATGCAGGGCAGGCACGGGCTCCCTTCCAGCGCCGCGGCAGAATTTGATCGGCCCGCCGGCCCAGAGCTGCTTCCAGTGGGGAGGTCTGTGGTGGGGGCTGACGGGCGGCAGCTAGGCCACTGGCTGCAGCGGGCGTGGAGGAGAGCAGGCAGGGCTGGTGGCTGGTGCCGAGGGTGGCATGGACATGAACATAGTGCCCCGAGAGGCCAGCCAGGGCCTTGCCCTGGGCCTCAACAGCCTTCCTGGGCCTGCACCCCCTAAGGTGGCCAAGAAACCTAAAAAGGCTGTTCTCTTCTTTGAGGTGGAGATTCTGGACGCGAAGACGCGGGAGAAGCTGTGCTTCCTGGACAAGGTAGGACTGTGGCTGCCATCTGTGGCCCCAAGCCAAGGCCCGGGTCCTGGAACCCCTGCTCCTTCCAGTGGCTTTAGCCAGAGCTGGGGAGCAGCAGCCTGCCTAAGGGAGCCCAGGAGTGTCCAGCCAGGCCCTTCAGTGTCCCCCAGCACCCCCAGCGGGCACACAGGGTGCCACCCCAGCCAGCAGGCCACTCCTGGTATTGGCAGCTGCTCGCCCCGGGTAGACAGGCGTCCTGGCTGCGAGAGGCAGCGAGGAGCCATGGTGGAACCCTGCAGGGCTTTGGGGCCTGGGAAGGAGGCGCTGAGGCCAGGCTTGGGGGAAGGGGCTTAGACCCTTCCAGGGGAGGTTTGGTTCAGACCAAGGGCTTCAATGGCAGAGTTGTGGGTGGGGTGGAGGAGAGGACAGAGGCGAGGTCGAGAGAAGCAGGTCCAGTTTCCCACGCTCAAACCGTCTCCCTGCTGGGCCGGGAGTGTCACTGCCAGGGTAAGACTGGAGCCCCCAGGCCCAGCAGCCATCCCCACTCTTTAGAAGTGCCCTCACTGTCATAGCCAAGGAGCTCCTGTTCCTTCCCTTGCCCTGGATAGGGGCCTAGGCCTCCCTCCACCCCCACCCCCAACTGTAGGGCTGCCACAGCCCTCAGCCTGACAGCCCCTAACCAGGAGGGATCCTGGCTGACAGCCCTGCGGCCTGTGCTTCCCCCAGGTGGAACCCCACGCCACCATTGCCGAGATCAAGAACCTCTTCACCAAGACCCGTAAGTCGGGGTGGCCATGCTGCCCTGTGTGAGCCCTCTGGACAGGGACTCAGGGCTGAGCCTCTCCCCCAGGGGCCTGCTGCTGCTGAGCATCACCAAGGCTTCTCTGGGCTGCACTGGGGCAGGTGCCCTGCGTGGACATCGCAGGAACGCCCTTGCTGGGCTTCCGAAAGGACAAGATCTTGCTGCCCATGCTCTGTGGGCTTGTGTCCTAGGACCACATAGCCTCAGGCTTTGTCTGGGGCCGGCAGTGGGGGTGGTGGAGCTGTGGGTACCTGAGCCCTAGGACCCACAAGAAGCTGGGGGCAGCACACCATGGGAGGGCACGGTGGGGTGGGCATAAGGCAGCTGGACATGCCTGGGCCGTGGCCAGGCTGGCGCTGTGACTGGCATGTGTTCTCCCTGCAGATCCACAGTGGTACCCTGCCCGCCAGTCCCTCCGCCTGGACCCCAGTGAGTACAGCTGCCCACTCGGCTGTGCCCTGGCTCAGGGGTAGGGGTGAGGAGCTGGGCAGCTCTGAGCCTCCTGCTTCTCTGCAGAGGGCAAGTCCCTGAAGGATGAGGATGTCCTGCAGAAGCTGCCTGTGGGCACCACAGCCACACTGTACTTCCGGGACCTGGGGGCCCAGATCAGCTGGGTGACAGTGAGTCTTGACCCCACCTGTAGCCTCCTCTCCCTTCAGCCACGTGGGGCACAACTCACCTTGGCCCCCATCTACCACAGGTGTTCCTCACGGAGTATGCAGGGCCCCTTTTCATCTACCTGCTCTTCTACTTCCGGGTACCCTTCATCTATGGCCACAAATACGACTTCACGTCCAGTCGGCACACAGTCGTGCAGTGAGTAGGGGGCAGCGGGGGCCAGGCAGTGTCGGGGCGGGGGCTGAGGGCCAGATCAGCCCTGCTGAGCCCGCTGTCCCCGCAGCCTTGCCTGCATCTGCCACTCATTCCACTACATCAAGCGCCTGCTGGAGACGCTCTTCGTGCATCGCTTCTCCCACGGCACCATGCCCCTGCGCAACATCTTCAAGGTGAGCGCCCACCTCCACCTGTGGGCCCCCCACCTTCGGGCCCTGTCCCCCTTGGAGGCACCAGACTCAGCCCCATCTCTGCCCAATCTCTTTCAGAACTGCACGTACTACTGGGGCTTCGCTGCCTGGATGGCCTATTACATCAACCACCCTCTCTATACACCCCCCAGTAAGTGGCCTCTGGCCCCTCAGCCCCACCCCTCCCAGGCCCTGCACTCCCTCAATGGCCACCCCCCCCCTGCTTTTTCTACAGCCTACGGAGCTCAGCAGGTGAAGCTGGCGCTCGCCATCTTTGTAGTAAGGAGGCTGGGGTGTGGGGGGAGGCTTAGGAGGGAAGGCTTGGAGGCCCTGGCCTGACTTGGGGGCCTGAGCCTGACCCTGCCCCTCTCACAGATCTGCCAGCTCGGCAACTTTTCCATCCATGTGGCCCTGCGGAACCTGCGGCCGGCAGGTGGGTACTGCCCCAGGTGGGCAGGTTGGGGGTGGGGGCCAGGCTGGCTGACTCACCCCTCCTGGTCCTTCCTGCCAGGGTCCAAGACAAGGAAGATCCCATTCCCCACCAAGAACCCCTTCACGTGGCTCTTCCTGCTGGTGTCCTGCCCCAACTACACCTACGAGGTGAGGGTTCCCTGTCCCCTGCAGGGCTTGGGGTCCCACGTGGAGGGTCCAGCCCCAGCAGTGGTGCCTAGATTGGGGCAGCTTTGGCAGCCTGAGCTGTGAGCATTTGGAAAGGGGAGAGCTGGCTTCCCTGGGGCTGGCACGTGGAGCACACAGGCCACCCCCTGCTCTGCACAGGGGTGGGCACTGCCCTGGCCCCGCCCACACCCACCCTCCCTGCTTACCCTGCCCACAGGTCGGCTCCTGGATTGGCTTCACCATCATGACACAGTGCCTCCCAGGTGAGCCACAGCTCCTCCCCCAGCAGCACCCCACCCACCTGCCTCCTCATCTCCCCACCCCGCCCCGCCCTGCTCCCTGACACCACTGCTCTGCCCCCTACTCTGCCCCACAGTGGCTCTCTTCTCCCTGGTTGGCTTCACCCAAATGACCATCTGGGCCAAGGGCAAGCACCGAAGCTACCTGAAGGAGTTCCGTGACTACCCGTCTCTGCGCTCGCCCATCATCCCCTTCCTGCTCTGAGCTGCTGCCCCTGCTGCCTGCCTGCTCACCCCAGGCCAGGGCCCCAGGCTTAGCCCAAGCCGGCCTCTCTTCCCCCCAGCCCAGTGTTAGTCTAGGGGAGGGCTGGGGCTCACAGCTTTCCAGCACCTGGAATAAAATCTGCCTGCCTGCCAGCTGGACCCAGGCTCTGTGTCCTTCTTTGGGGGGTTGGGGGTCCTGGAAACCACACCACCCTTCTGGCCTTCCCCACCATACAGTCAGAGGCAGGTTGAGGATCTGGAGGCTTTTATTTCTTCAACTGGTCCACAAGGTGGCAGCACGTCCCTACAGGGCCACCTCAGGGGCTACCTCACCGGACCCATGGCCCCTGGCCGCGTCTGCTGCCTTCTTTTCTCGCCGATGCTTTCGCTGGAGCAGCCGCCGCTCCCGCTCAAACTCCTTCATGCGGCTCACATAGCTGGGGACAGAGAAGGGTTGTCAGGCTCCCTGACCCCGACGCGTCCCTCCCTTGGCCCTGGGAAGTGGACAGAAGTGGGTGCCCCAGAACATTTGGGGAGACCTCTAGTAGGGAGGACCCTACGGTTCTAAGCCTGAGCTCTGCCCAAGCCTGTAGCCCAGGCAGCCTCCCGAGCCTGTGGAGGAGGTGGGAGCATCTCTGCCAGGCAGGGCAGGGCCCCCACCTGTACCACTGCAGGCTTTTCCTCTGCCCTACCTAGTGGGGCCAGCTAGAAACCTGGGAGGAAATCCTCAGTCCTCTGCCCTCTGGAGCTGCATCCTGCTGCGGGGTGCTGGTGGGGGCAGGATCGGGTCGAGTGGGCTCTGGGGTTGTGGAGCCGGGGTGCAGTGGGGCGGGGCCGGGCTCACTCGAGGTGCTCGCAGTAATCCCAGTCGTGCTGCTCGTGCTTGCAGGCCAGGAAGTTGGGGAAGCTGTCGCGCTTGCACTTGAGCAGCCGGATGAGGTAGTGGGCGCAGTAGTCCCGCTGCTGCAGCACCAGCTGGGCGTCGTTCATCTGCTGCTGCGTGGCCACCATCTCTGTGGGAGCAGGCGAGGGCTGGGCTCAGCGGGCGTCCTCCTGCCCAGTGCCCCCTCCTGCTCCCCCTACTCCACACTCAGGGCCCGCACAGAGCCACGTCTGGGGGTGTCACCCATCGACAGTTTGGCAGCAGATGACAGTGAATCAGGGCCATCCTCTGACATATGGAAGGGTCAGGAGAACACAGTCCTGTTGCTAACTGGCAGAGACAAGCCGGGCGAGGGGGCGGTGACGTTCTCTCTCCCCATCACCCCAGGTTACACTCTATCCTCGCCTCCCCTTCCCCAGGTCTGCCCACCCCACCTCCGTGGTCACTCTTCTGAAAAGCCACACTGCACAGCCATGAGCCAAGAACTCCACCTTCTCACCTGGCCTCTGTTCCCCCACCAGCCCTCTCCACCCTCCCCTCTGCTGGGCACGATGCAGTGTGGGCCCAGGCGAGGCCCAGCTGCACACTGGCTGGCTGCGCGGCCTTGGACGTGTCATTTCCTGTCCCTCACTTTGGTTTCCTCACCTATGTAATGGGCCAGCGGTCAGCTCCTCAGTTACTGTGCGAGGTGACTGAACTAATAATGAAGGCCTCAGAGAGAGGGCTGACCATCCTCGGCCCCAGTGCCCTGCCCACCGGCAAGCCCCACCCACGACAAAACAACCTGCTGGAAGCCATTGGGGTGGTTTCTCTGACAACCCAACTCTCAGGCTCTGGCCTCCTGGCCCACTGCTAACCCCGGCCTTGGGAAGAGACAGGACCCAGACTTCTTCGTCCTCAGGCCCCTCCCAAACCTCCCTCGGTCTTCTTCCTTGGTCCCAGCTCCTTGCTGTGACCTTGCCCATGTCTCCACCGCAGTTGTTCCCTGCTGCTTCTCTCCCCCTGCTTCCTGGCCCCATTTCTAGCTGTCTAGAAACAACTCATCTCCCACCCCCTCAACCTGCCCACCACCACTCAAAGTTTTCACCAGGGCCATCCACGATCTCAGGACCCCACGCTTCCTCAGCCTCCTCCAACGGTTCTCTCCCCACGGCTCCCCTGTACCCCACCCTCCCTGCTCTTTCACCCAAACATTCAGTGCTGGTTTCCCAGGGCTTGTCCCTAGAGCCCTTGCTCCTTCTGATCAATGCCTTCCATCACCACCCCATCTGCGGAAGAGGCCCGACTTCATCCCTCCACCTGCTGCCACCAGCACCTGGTGCTCTCTCATCTCAGCAACAAGGGTTTACTGCACACCTACTGCGTGCCGGGTGCAGGGCAGGACACACATGCACTCCAGCCCTAGCAGCAGGCAGTCTCGGGGAAGGAGACAGAGTGCACAATGTGGCAGAATTTCTGACAGTCTTGGGGAGGAAGATAAGCCAGGCAGAGCGACACGGAGTGCTGGGAGACAGATCACGATTTTAGACTGCGTGGTCACTGAGTAGTATCTGAGGAAGGCGAGGGAGGAGTCCTGCAGACACTTGGGAGGATGGAACTGCCAGTTACCAGGACAGGAAGATGGAGGGAGGGGCAGGCACAGGGGGAAGACCAGAAGCTCTGTTAGGACCCGATGCGTGGGAAATGCATGTTAAGATCGTGCGGAGATGTGCAGCAAGCAGTGGAGCCATGAGCCAGGAGTTGAGGGCGGAGACCTGGCTGGAGATACAACTTGGAGCGTCAGCATGCCGAAGACATGTGAAACCAGGGGACTAGCAGACTCCCTGAGAGTGGGAGTGTGGAGACTAGAGAGAGAGGTCTGTGCCCTGAAGCACCCCAACATTTACGAGGAGGGGAGAATCAGTGAAGGAGCTGCTGGCGAGGTGGATGGAGAGCCAGGGAAGTTTGGGGCCCTGGGGGCCAGTGAGGAGGGGCTCCGAGGGGGCAGGTGAGATCAAAAGTGCCCAAGGAAGGCGACAAAGGGGACAGTCACTGGAAGCCTTCCTTGGTAACTCCCAGGCTCCTCCCCCCATATCTGCCTGGTTCCACTGTTTGCCCCACTAGGCTGTAAGTTCCCTGAACACAGAGCCTGCGCCCCCTACAGTTCCCTGCTGTATCCGCGGTGCCCAGCTTGGGACTTGGTCCAGGGTTGGCACTCGATGTGATGTATTATTACATAAAAAAAGCAATGTGCAGAACAGTTTGTGCAGCTGGGCCCCCTTGTACACTCAAAAGCAGCCATGAAAGGAAGGCAAGAGAGGGGGCAGTCACCGGAGGTAGGGCCAGGAGAACATTTTAAAATGGTAGAAATAGCTCTACTTGCACAATGATGGGGAAAACCAATGCAAAGAAGAGAGAGAACGGATGCTGCAGCGTCCTTGGGTAGATGAGAGGAAGGAATCTAGGGTTCAAGGGGCTTGATCAGGGGCAGCTGAGTAACAGGAGAGAAGGTGGAGTCTGAGGGTGCAGAGGAAGAAGGGTGCTGGGAACCCATGAGAGCTCGTTTCTGGCTGCGTCTGTTTTCTACAAAAAACATGCAAAGTCAAGGGTGGAGAGGGGGTGGAAGGAGGTGCTGGAATCTGAGGGAGAGGTGGACGGCCATCTAGGATGGAGAGAGGGAGAGCGAAGGATTAGCTAGTGGAGGGCCGGTAGCACGACGGGAGACCAGTCAATGAAGTTGGGTGTTTTTCTCCCGTCGCGTTCAGCTGCACAGGGGCAGGAGTCAAGGAGGGGGAGAGCAGGGTTTAACCAGGGTGATGGTTTAGCCAAGTAAGAGAGAGCAGCAAAGGTTGTGGGTGTTTGCAAAGCTAGCTGTGGGTAAAGCAGGGTGTAATGGCAGAGGCGGGTGGCCAGGAGCTGGGATGAGAGGAGTGACTATACCCCGTCCCAAGGCTCTCTCAAACCCATTGACTTCTGTGCACACCCATCACTTAGGGGACTCCCCACCTCCAGTCATTGTCCACCCAGCGGCCAGCGTTACCTTTTGGCAAAGCAAATCTGACATGTCCCTCCCCTGCTTAGAAGCACTGGTTCTGCCCCCTCCTTGGAGCCCTCTCTGCCTGGTCAACTCCTACTCGACCCCCTTCCGTCTCCACTTCCATCCACCACCTCCTAGAAGTCTTCCTTGATACTCCCCAGGTTCCTCCCCACAAGTCTACCTGGTTCCACCATCTGCCCCACTAGGGTGAGTTCCCTGAAGCCAGGGCCTGCGCCCCTGCTGTATCCGCGGTGCTCAGCTTGGGACTCGCTTGATGTGATATATTATTACATAAAAAAGCAACATGCCGAACAGTGTGTGCAGCTGGGCCCCCCTCGTGTATGCCTAAAAACAGCAGTGATACAGTGAACACGTCCCTTCTCTGATAACCCCGCATGTCCTCCCCTCCCCCCAAATCACAACTCTTTTGTCCCGGGGCTTTTGCCCAAGCCGTGCCCTCTGCCTGGCATTCCCCACTCAGGCAGGGACAGTGCCTCCGCTGGACTCGTCCGGGCCTACGCCAAGGATAAGCCCAGAGACGAGCGGGTGAAGCTCGAGTCCAGCCCTGGGGACCTGGGGGTTCGAGGGATCCCGGCGCACGCCCCAAGTCCGCGCCTGCGCACTGGGCCTCACCGCGCTCCTTGCGCCCGGGGATGCCGTAGTCCGGCGGAAAGGTGGGCATCCGCAGGGGATCAGGCTCCCCCGAGCTATCGCCCAGGTATCGCCGGGCCAGATGCGCCCCCATCGTTGCGGCTGCCGCAGTTCCCCCTGCAGCCGGGGTCACCTCGCTCCTACCCAGAAATACTCCTTCTCCGCCAGCACGGCTTCCGGGTCATGCAGGTCGCCTGCCGGGATCACAGAGATGAACGGCTTCGAAGGCCTTCCTGTCCTGCCTACGCCACCTGGCGGCCGGACGGAGGAAGGACAGCTGCCGCGAGCCCCATCGGAAGGTCTCGTGGCTGCGGCCGGAGGGGGCGCCCTGATTCTGGGCGATGTAGGGCCTGGGACTTCTCTTTACTCTCCCTGGGGCGCGCTGGTATCCTGAGGCTAGAGTACAAATAAAAATTATTTTTCGTATCTTTTTTCAAAAGAATATTTTCTTCTAAAACATTCAAAATGGTCTTAAAAATGCACAATAGCAATTGTTACAATTCGTGAATATCAAAAATTTAAATGAACTTATTTGAAGTATATATTTCAATTAATTAAATTTTAATTAAATAAATAGAATAAAGTTATTTATTTTTAAGTAAAAGATGTCACTTTGAGGACTAAGATGCACCTGACCCAAGCCATAGTATTTTCAATTGCCATAGCTGGACAATGAACGAGGAAGACTAAAGGAGAATTGTTGCCTTTGGATTATGGTGTTGGTGAAGAATGTTAAATATACCATGGACTGCCAGAAGAACAAACAAATCTGTCTTGGAAGAACAGCCAGAATGCTCCTTAGAAGCGAGAATGGCAAGACTTATCTCATGTACTTTGAACATGTTATCAGTCCCTGGAGAAGGACACCATGCTTGGTAAAATAGAGGGTCAGTGAAAAAGAGGAAGTCCCTCAATGAGATGGATTGACACAGTGGCTGCAACAATGGGCTCAAAGGTGTTTGAGGATGGTGCGGGACTGGGCAGTGTTTCGTTCTGTTGTACATAGTGTTGCTATGAGTCAGAACCCACTAGACGGCACCTAACAACACCAAAACCTGCGAAAGTCAGAAACTGTGTAATTTGGAAACCTATGAGAGAAGGAAAGCTAAAATATTTTCCACTAATAGCGATAGAAAAGTGGTAAGACCTCACCCTGTCAAAGGTGGAAAACTTGTGAGATCTGGAAAAACAAGGCAGTCACATTGAATTCCATCTCTCACAGGTTACACTGTATATGCTGTTGGTAGGTGTTGTTGAGTTGTTTCTGACTCATAGCGACCTTATGTATAACAGAATGAAATTTGCATGGTCCTGTGCCATCCTCACAATCCTTGCCATGTTTGAGCCCATTGTTGCAGCCACTGTGTCAGTGCATCTCATTGAGGGTCTTCCCCCTTTTTTTGCTGACCGTCTACTTTACCAAGCATGTCCTTTTTCAGGGATTGGTCCCTCCTGATAACATATCTAGAATAAGTGAGACAAAGTGTTGCCATCCTCACTTCTAAGGAGCATATACATATATACCATATGCTTATATGCAGGACTGTTCCAGGCCTTGTGGACACAGAGGTGAACAAGAGAGACAAGGGTGGGGCCTTTAAATACCCCCTGTAGTAGGTTGAATGGTGGCTCCTAAAAAGATATGTCCAAATCCTAATCCCTGGTACCTGTGAACATGACCTTCTTGGGAAAAAGGGTATTTGCAGATGTAAGTAAGTTAAGGACAAATAAAAATGATTTTTCATTTCTTTTTCACCTTGAAATGAGATCATCCTGGATTACCCAGGTGGACCCTAGGTCTAATGTCAAGTATCCTTACAAAACACAGAAGAGGGGACACAGGCACAGAGGAGGAGGCCATGTGAAGACAGGCAGAGATGGGAGTGATGCAGCCACAAGCCAAGGAATGCTTGGAACCACCAGAAGCTGGAAAAGGCAAGGAAGGATTCTCCTCTAGAGCCTTTGAAGGGAATTTGGCCCTGCCAACACCTTGATTTTGGACTTCTGGCCTTCACAACTGTGAGAGAATATATTTTCATTGTTTTAAGCCATCCAGTTTGTGGTAATTTGTTGTGGCAGCCACAGGAAATCAATGCACCACCTTTATGCTGATAATCCTCACATTTGTCTCTAGACATGTCCTCTCCCCTGAACAACCAGCTACTGGGCACCTGTATGTCCTATCTTGAACTTCACGTGCTCAAACCAAACTCTGGATTCCCCTGAGCGCTTTCTCTCCTAGACCTGCCCCTTCCCCATCTTCCCACCTTGGTAGCTCTGTCCTTCCAGGTGCTCAGAACCCAAACATTGGGTCATACTTGACCCTCATCTTTGTCTCACTCCACACATCCAATTCATTGGCAAAGTCCTTTGGCTTTGCCATTGAAATCTATCCAGAACATGATCCGTTCCCCCTCCCTCCATGGCCACTAGCCTCCTCCAAGGCACTGTCATCTCTGGCTACTGTGATTGCAGAAGCTTCCCTAATCTCTCACCTGCCCTCAGGGTGCATTTGTCAAAAATGGAGATCACGTCATGCATCTGCTGAAGACTCTCCCGTGGCTCCCCAGTGTGTGGGAGCTGGGTCCCACCCCAGAGTGTCTGATTCAGCAGGTCTAGGAGAAACCCCAGGTGATGCTGATGCTGCAGGTCTGGGCATGACACTTGGAGAACTGCCAAGTTAGATCTTCATGTGCTCATTTGAGGAAGTGCTTATGAGATATTGTTTAGTGAAAAATGCAAGCTGTTGAAAATAGACCAATAGTGATGAACACTTCCTTTCCAGGGCTCCCTGTGACGTAGCCCTGTCCCCAGGCCACCGTATAGATTTGTGATTCTTGTGTCCTTCTCGACTGCAGGGGGCACCATTCACATTGTGGTCTCTGTGAATGGTGCAAACCTGGAGTTGTGCAGTGAGCAACTGTGCAGCTGCACTAGGCAGCCCTGTCACTTCCTGGGTGTCTCTCCTCCTTCTCCCTGTCTCTGTGCCTCAGCTGCTCACCCAGAAGTCAGAGCTGGGACAAGAGCCAGGGAGGAAATTATGGTCCCAGCTTATTTTTCCTGTGTGACCTTGGGAATTAATTTCCCTTCTTCAATACTCAGTTTACCCATCTCTAAAATGGGGCCAGTAATACCTACCTTGAATTGATGTCTTCGATTTGTGGTGTTGGCGAAGAATATTGAATATACCATGGGCTGCCAGAAGAATGAACAAATCTATCTTGGAAGAAGTACAGCCAGAATGCTCCTTAGAAACGAGGCTGGCGAGACTTTGTTTCACATACTTTGGACATGTTACCAGGAGAGATCAGTCCCTGGAGAAGGACTTCATGCTTGGTAAAGTAGAGGATCAGCAAAAAAGAGGAAGACCCTTGATGAGATGGACTGACACAGTGGCTGCAACAATGGGCTCAAACATAGCAACGACTCCGAGGATGGCACAGGACCAGGCAGTTTCGTTCTGTTGTACATGGGGTCGCTATGAGTCGGAATCGACAACAACCAGACACTCCCCTCCCTTTTACTGCTTTATTTTTCTCCTTATCTTTAGCACTCTCTAATATGCTATAGGAGCCCTGGTGGTGCAGTGGTTGAATGCTTGCCTGCTAACCAAAAGATTGGCTGTTCAAACCCACCAGCTGCTCCATGGGAGTAAGATGTGGCAGTCTGCTTCTGTAAAGATTACAGCCTTGGAAACCCTATGGAGCACTTCTACTCTGTCCTATAAGGTCGCTATGGGTTGGAATTGACTTGATGGCAACGGGTTTAACATGCTATGAGGTCACTTAGTGGCAAAAACAGTTAGTGCCCAACTACTAACCTGAAGGTTGGCAGTTTGAACCCACCCAGTGATGTCACGGAAGAGAGGGCTGGCCATTTGCTTCCATAAAGATTATAGCCAAGAAAACCCTGTGGAGCAGTTCTACTTTGTAACACCTGGGGTCGCCTTGAGTCAGAATTGACTCAAGGGCGACAGGTTTGATTTGTTTTTTGTTTTTAACATGCTATATATTTGATGTAAGGCATCCTGGCGGCGCAGTGGTTAAAGCGATCAGCTGCTAACCGGAAGGTCGGCGGTTTGAAACCACGAACGGCTCTGAGGGAGAAAGATGTGGCAGCTTGCTTTCATAGAAATTTATAGCCTTAGAAACTCTGTGGGGTCACTATGAGTAGGAATCAACTTGACAGCAGTGGTTTTTTTGTTTTGTAAATATATTTGTCTTGCTTACTGTTGGTCTCTTCCTCTTGAATGTCTGGTCATGGGGCAGGGTTTTTTTTTTTCTTTTCCAGTTGAGGTGAAATTCACATACCATGAAACTAGCCGTTTTAAAATGGACAGTTCAATGGTATTTAGTACCTTCACAATGTTGTGCAACCACCATCTCTAACTAGTTCCAGAACGTTTTCGTCACCCTAAAGGAGACCCCGTACCCACCAGCAGTCACTCCCCACTCCCCTCCCCAGTCTCTGCAACCACTAGTCTACTTTCTGTCTCTATGGGTTTACACATCCTGGACATGTCACATAAACAACCTTCCACGCCTGGCGTCTTTCACTTAGCATGTTCTCATGGTTCCTCCATGTTGTGGCATGTATCAGAACATCATTTCTTTTTACGGCTGAAAAATATTCCATTGTATTCATACCACATGTTCTTTCTCCATTTGTTCCATTGGTGGACATTTGGGTTGTTTGTACCTTTTGGCTACTGTGACTAGTGCGGCTATGAACATGCATATACAAGGCTGAGTACCTGTTTTCAGTTCTTTTGGGTAGATTCCTAGGAGTGAAATTGCTCGGTCATGTGGTAACTCTCTGTTTAACTTTTTGAGGAACCACCAGACTGTTTTCCAGGGGCAAGGATTTATGTGTCTTGTTCACGGCTGTATTCCCTGTACCTAGAATAGAGCTGTTACATAGTAGGTTCTCAATAAGTATCTGTTGAATAAACAAGTAAATAAATGAATAAGCAAATAGGGTGATTGACAGGAGTCAGATGGTTGCGTGAAAACCACTCACTGTCTGGCACATAGTAGGTGCCTAATACGTGCTTACTATTATTATTTTTGGGGCCCCTGGCTGGCACAAATGATTAAGTGCTTGGCTGCTAACTGAAAGGTTGGCAGTTCAAGTCCCCCCAGAGGCACCTCAGAAGAAAGGCCTGGAAATCTACTTCTGAAAAATCAGCTATTGAA